GTATACTGATGGATGGTGTCTTACAATATGAAAGTCATTTTTGTGGTGATGGATTAAGATAGCTCGATGATAAGTAGTTTTAATCGTTTTCTATATTCGAATTAAAATACAGTTGAAGCAAATGTGAATCATCGGTGAAATTTCCGCTCAATGGAATAAGGAGCATCTACGCCCTTTGCATTCACCTTTATTGGCTGCTGCTCGATCCAATTTGTCCCAATTACGTCTTCTAATGAGTGCATATCTACACACGTTATTTTCATGCACTGCTTTTCGTAAATTTTTTTTTGTTTTTTTGAATGACCATGTATGTGTTCAATGGTCTATTGTAAATGTATATGAATCACACCGTAAATTGTTTATATGCTAAAAGTTAAACTTCAAAGTTTTCTCGTAATCGGTATTACAAAGTAATTGATGCGGACGGCCCAAATCTTTGCTTTTCTAATGCTATCAACAGCTATTTACTGGTAAGAGAAGCCTTACTGTTCCAAGTGTAACGCTGAAGTTATGTATATTTAAATCAATGAACTTTTATCAGCATTTAACGTGTTTTATGGGAAACAGCTTACCCCATGCCTCTGGCAAACAACAGCCTTTCTCCAGCCTTCATATGCCTGACCTCGGCACTCGGCAGCTAATGTGTTTGACTGTCCCTATGAGTCGTGAGCGCAAAATAAGATAAAACCGTCACCTCGTCCGCTGTGAATGCTGACGTGTCCCTCACTTGTCCTTCCACGTGTTTGACTAGGCGAATGGACCTCCCCCAGTACCCTAAGCCGATTCTCCGTCCGGGGAGGGAGGGCAAGGGTCCGTCCCGCCCCTACACCTGTTCGGATCCTGACCATCAGCCCCTCTGACAGCTGGGACGCCGTCAGGGTCCTGTCGACGTTTGTCTCTCTGTTGGACGCCCGGGTTTAGCACGCACTGACGGACACGCGAGGTGGACAGGTGTGGTGTGCTCCACTGCCGCCCGAGCGTCCGTTATCCCCTCGGATGGATGGGAGGGAGGGGTCGGACGGGTGACGTTTGACGCCTCGTGGACCAATCCCCCTGCCACTTCCTCCCAGAGCTGATGGCGGAGCGTGATAACCGCCGCCGCCCGGACACTCAAGTTGTCTTTTTTTTCTGCCCCGGACGCGGGAGAAAGCGAGGAGTGACGCCGGAGCTCACTGCTGATCCAGCGGCGCTCGCTGCGCGTCATCAGCGCACGTCATCAGGCGTCACTCGACGGGGAGACGTCAGCGGTCCAGTCTGCGGTGTGATTCTCAGTGTGTAGTTAGTCTCTGGTCCCGCCGTCGGATTTGTTCGGACGACCGGCGCCTGACTGGATTCATGTGCAGTGGACCGCGTAGGGTGTCGGCTATTACTGACAACCGGCGCAGTGTCTGACGCATCACATCCGTCAGCAGACGCCATGGAGCTGTGATAAATGCGCCGGCAGCGACAAAATATCACAATATGTGTCCCATGTTTCTGCTATCTATCTGTAGGAGTTATCTCGAGCTGAAAGCGTTGCAGTGTTGAGCTGGTAACGGCGGGCGGGTATTGACCTTCAGCTCGGAGTTGACATCAAGAGATGGCTGGATATAACCATGTTGTAAAATTATGACGTTTTGATGCGCAGATTTTCTTTGAGAAGTGTAAGTATGGTGTAATGCTAACATTACAGGATGAATTTTCTCGTACGGTTTCTAATTTCATCTACAGAATCACTTCTCATAAACGATTGTGTACGGTACTGTGGAATGTGGATAGCGCCGATGCGTTATCATGCAGCTTCGAACACAATGAAACGTCACTTGAGCTATTTCGGCCTGGCATCCACTAGCTATTGTGAAGCTAACGCGGAACCTGTGACCCTACGCGGAGCAGAAGTCAGCCATAGGTACATACACTGGACAAACTTTGTGGACGGTCGGGGGTTTCGGACCTTTTTTCGGTAGCTCTATGCCGAGTTTGTGTGTCAGTCGCCCGGAGGACACCCCTCACCCTTCTGACAGCAGCGGGACGCGTGGGAGAGAGAGCCTCGTCAAGCGTCAGCCAGCGCTGACCCCGTGGGAGATGGCGCGTCGTGTCACACGGCGGGCGGCCCGCTCCGCTCCCAGGGGCCCGAGCGGCGGCGGCGGCCCGCCCACAGCGCCCCGCCGACAAAGCCGGTGTCGGCCACACGGCCCAGGGACGCCGGCTGCCCCTCAGCGCCCGTAATTGAACGCTGAATGGCCGGTCGGTACGATTTACGGCTCAGGGTATGTGAGGACGCCGTCAGCTCCCGGTCCGACGCCGACCGTCTTCATTAGACGGCGGCGACGGACGGACGTCGCGTGCGGTCCGCCGCCGCCGCTGCCGGCCGCCGCTGCCGGCCGCCCACGCCGCCAGCAGGTGACACCGAGTGGTGTCCCACGCCACGACCCGCCGCCACCCCGCTCTTTGTTGCACCGCCCCCGCCGCTGCCGACGCCCGGAAATCTGGACCGTCGGTGACGGGCAGATCGGACACGCGTCCTGAGGTCAGCCGTCGTGACCAGCGCGGTGACACCAGACGACAGCGATTTAAAATGTTAAAGCGCCACGCCAAGAACGGGTGGCGTGTCAGTTTTTGTGCGGACGCTCCCGGCTCCGAAGTTAAACGCCGACCGACTCGTGTTATCAGCGCCGGCCGCCCATCCTTTGGCGGGCTGTTATGTTGGCGAGACCAGAATTTCACGCTCGTAGCTACTGCTGGCGGCAGAAGACTGCAGGGTAGCGGAGCCCGGTCTCTCCAGACCGTTGATGGGTCAGTTGGTGTACTCGGCAGTGACCGGGCGGCGCCTGGGGCTGGGGGACGCCGCAGGAGGCCGCGGCCGCCTCTGGCCACCGGTGGCCACGGCTACCCCTGCCGCCACCGCCGCCGCCCGCCCGGCCGGCCGGGGCCGGCGAGCAGTGGAGCCGGCGGCCGGCGCGGGGCAGGGTGTGCCCGATTGCGTGCTCAGAGGCCATCGGTGCGTTCGGCGGCTGGCAAGATGAACTCTCTGGTGTTCGAGGCGCCCTGGCGGGTCTACTCGTCTCCGTACGACCACCTGCGGCCGGCGCAGGATAAAGGTGGGTGCAGCCCGTGCCGCGCCGCCGGCGGGGTCGCCGCGACCGCCCAGCGCCGGCTCTCACTGAATGGGCGGGCCGGCATCTAGCCGCGGGGTGAAGGTCGCGCGAGTCTGCCGCGGGCTCCTCGGGTGACCCCGACTGGCGACACGGGGCAGACGAGCCGACTGGCGACTGGCGCTGTGCTAGCTCCGAGGTCCGTGATGGCACCATTATAGACGGCGGCGGCACAGTCGCCCCCGCTGGCCGCAATAATTGCATCGTGCCCATGCGGCCGGCTTATTGGCGAGTAACGAGCGCACCCAATCCTCATCGGCCAGTAATTTGAAGCAATTAAATGATGTGTCAGGCACTCAGCTTTTTATGGCGTCGATCGCATGCAACGGCGGCCGTTTTTGCTAGGCACGAACGCTCATGGGCAGAGCGTCTGTTGCCATGGAATGAGAGCGATAATGCGCCAACGGAAATGGCAGGCGAGCCTCAGAATGGAAAAGGCTTGTAGAAGTACGGTGATGCATGCGATTTGGTTTGATTCGTGAGCAAGGTGAAGGGTGATTCATGTTTTGAGTTTTGAGTTTAGTGAATGCTAGTGTCCTGTGAAAAGATGCGGTCTCTGATGATACTGTTATACGCTGCAGTGCAGTCTCCAACACCTGCCGTTTCTGGTGCTACTGCTCTGTGGGTGAATGCAGTCTCTGGCGATACTGTTACTTGCTGCAGTGCAGTCTCCATTATACTTCCTTCATTGGTGCTACTGTCCTGTGAGTCGGCGCAGTCTCCGCCGTCCGGCGGCACCCGCGGTCTCCGGACGGCCCTGCTGCCGTTACCGAGGGCACCGCCGGCGGCGGAGCTGGTCCGCCCCTCGGCCGCCCGCCCCCTCCCCCTCCTGCCGTCGGCAGCGGGCTTTGTCTCTGCAGATGCCTCATAATTTATGGTTATTGGAGGGTTTTGGATGGGGTCCAGCGAGCGGCTGCAGTGGCCGGCCGGCTGCAGGGAGCTCCGCTGACTGTGTCTCGGCAGCGCGGCAGCGGCTATCGTTAGGACTCTGTTTGCTGAACACTTGAACAGCAATGTCACCATCCGAGGATATGGGGAGCCGATGCTGACGTCACGCACACTCACACACACGCGCACCAATACACCCGGTACAGGTGTCTGCAGAATGGGCCGGGGCGCCGGCGGAGGGCGTCTAACGACGACCATTACACCGGCGGCTGATTGCTGATTTACGGCCTCGGCTCTAATTGCCGGCCCTTGCTGTTCGATGAGCGGCCGACAGACCCTAGAAGCAGAGAACATAACGACTTAACGTGCGTAGATGATTGTTTCACTATTTGGAGAGTCGTAGGTCATACCATTCAAGATGAAGAAGTTTAAAGGATAAACAAGCACCCTGTTTAGCAAGCGAAAGCAATGATAACATGCAATGACATCAGGCCGTTGCATATGGCAAAAATTCCATGGTTTAGCTCTCGGAATGTTATGTACTTTTTCATCTCTTCACATGTCATATAGGCTGTCGGAAAATCCATCTAATTGTCATGCTGCACGGATTTACTAGAGACATGTCTTGAAATAACACGGTTTATGCTTAAACATATCAAAGTTCATTCTACTCAAAACAATACCTGACTGATGATTAAGCCAGATAAAGTGCCATTAGGGGACGTGGGTGCGGCAGTCTGAGCCTGACCAAGAATAGTTCGGCCGTGTAGGATTTTTAGGGCTTCGATATTGCTGTTGTTGAGAAGAGGTTACTGTCCGCCAAATTACATAGCGCCACATAAAAACAATCAAACAATGCATTGTATCATGGAAATGTCCCCCTTAGGACATATTTGCTTCTTCAGCCTCTCACTTACTGAAAATAAAATGTAAAGTGCACCAGCCGTCTGACACTGGCTGTATTTTCTGTGTTTGCAGTGAATGTGGTGGAGGCGCTGCAGGAGTTCTGGCAGATGAAGCAGGCGCGGGGCGCCGAGCTGAAGAACGGCGCCCTGGTCATCTACGAGTCGGTGCCGGCGTCGTGTCCTCCCTACGTCTGCTACGTCACCCTACCGGGAGGCAGCTGCTTCGGCAGCTTCCAGGTCAGTTGATGGGCTCCCGCGACAGTCCTCTGACTATCCCGTCAGTCTTTATACCTCAGCCTATCCTCGTCAATCTTCTTTGTCAGGATTCAATGTGAGTTTCTCAATTTTGTCTCAAACTTTTATAACATCAGTTTTAAATCTCAGTCATCAAGACCAACCACCAAAACAAGCAAGGGCCGAACGACAACTCTCCATGCCATACCTTCGCGTCATTTACTCATCAGTCCAATCACTCACTTGTGACTCTGCCTCTTAGTGGAACGATGGAGAATGAATTGATTGTAACTCATCCTTAAACACTTCTGACCAATCTGCTTAAGTGCATATTAGACAGCTTCTCTAAGTCGTGGCGAATTCTCGGTAGATGAATAATACTGTTGACGGCGTGGTTTAACCCTCGCCCGCACATGCCATTTTCCCATCCTAGAACGCACATGGGGGGGGGGGTGGTTGCCACCCCCCCGCGCCATTTCGTTCCTGTTGGAGATAGAGCTTAGCAGTAAAGACCAAAAAGATTCTTTGGGAAGAGACGAATCCAATGATACCCAGTTTTACCTTCTCAGGTCAGTCATTGACCTTCCAGGTCAGGTCAAACTAAAAAATGTTGCTGTTTTGGGTCACCGTTGGATATCAAGTGTGCTGCTTATCAAATACCGATGACGATGCTGTTTTCTGGTGCCAAGCCAGCTAGAACCTCTTTGTCACACTACCCGACCAGAATTTTGCTGCTGAGGTCATTTCAGGTCAAGTTAGGTCAAGGTCAATTATATGTGTTTGTATGTCTGTGTGTGTCTGTGTGTATACTGATGTGTGCACCGATTGTTTTTGGGTCCATATTACATGAAATCATGACCTGAGAAGCTTTTACCAAAAATGCAGTAAAAAAAACTTCAAAAAAAAGTAAATTCAGCTTGCCTAAAACGCAATTATCTTAGGTGACCTAGGTTGACCTTGACCCTGACCTTGACCCCTGTACATCGTCAAACAACATGTTCCATGATAGGTAGGAGGTAAGACTGGCAAAAAAGGCCGAAATCAGGGTGTCAAAAGCTCATAAGGCCCATGGCAAACGCAAGATGTTGAGAATTGGCCATTTGGGTCATGACATGACCTGAAAAACAAGGTCATATCTCCGAAACCAAAAATCACAGAAACTTGAAATTTTCAGTGGACATCAAGAAAGGATAGAGGAGCAGCTATACGAAAAATCAGCCTTCTAGCTCTAAAAATGTTGAGTGCAGAGCAGAAAGACTACCTGGGGGGGGTGGCAACCACCCCCCCCATGTGCGGGCGAGGGTTAAGTGAACAGGATTGAAGTATCAGACTAAGGAATGTTGCAAGTTGCCGCTCCCCAAACAAAACCGGATGGCAGGAGATCTCTGAGCTGGAAACCCTGTGAATACAGAGCCGAGACGCCGAGGGTCGGCTTTGCTTCAGCATTGTGCGGTGGACTTCCCAATGATTTTGCCTTTACCGTCTATACCTACCTGCTCCTTACTTCGGCGGTGTAAAAACAATGGTGCATTGACATGCTGGGTTTCGGTGCGCCTGTAAAATGCGATTCCCTATAAGCGTCCGAGGAATGGCATGCTGGCTTGTCTAATCTTCTAAGCAGCTGTAGTTATTTGGCGTCACCGGAGGGATAACAGGATTTGCGCTAGCCGTCTGAATGCTTGTCTTCCTTGCAAAATGTTACACAGTTGTCTATTTATTTACCTATCATGTTTGTTTATTTTCTGCAAGTTATTACTGAAGGCCGTATTGACAATGCCTTTCGATGTTCTTTCAGTCTAGACTTTGGCATATCACACTTTCAAACGTATACGGCCGATAAATAAATGAAAATGAAATGTTAACAAATCAAAACATGTCGGCGAGCTAACAGGTCACACGTGCGACAAACCAGCTTAGGCATTCAGAGGGCCCCTACACGTGCAAACATGCTAGCGTGACCTTCAAATGTCCCGTGTGTCAGACACGGCAGAAGCCCAGTCTGAGTCAGAAGCGGTGGTGGTGGGGGGACAAACGTGTCCCATCCTGTATCTCTGGTTCAGACGGTGAGTGACCGCAGGGCGTGGGGCCTCAATGGTGCGCGCATAACTATTAGGTACTTGTCGTTTTTGACTGCAGGTATCATACGACTGAGTGACAGTCGTCTGATCAGTGACACGTTACGCTACACGTTCTTGACTTGACACGTCCAGTCGTGTCAGCGAGATAACTAGAGAATCATTAGCTTCTCACCTCACCGGACCCCTCTCCGAGCCGATTGGTGCGACCCGGCGCCGGACCGGCAGACCGGGCCGGGCCGGGCCGGGCCGGGCCGAGGTGCCGCAGCCGCTCCCCGCCCATCATCTCGCTGTTCCGCGAACAGGCCCGGCCGAGCTGCGTGCCCCGCGGCGCTCGACGGACACATAAAGTTTTATGTCTGCACATCTGCGGCGGTTAGTGTGGCGCGCCGGGCCGACCACGCCGCCGTCGGCGCGACGCAGCCCGACCGGCCTCTCGGGTCAGACGGACGGACGGCTGTCTGGGCCGGCACCTGGCCCACCGTGCTACAGACATACCCGCTCGGACATCAACGGAGAAAACACAGAGCCGAGGCTCGGTGAAATTCGGTCAGGCTGACAAAGAGCCCCTATGCATTTCAAAAGAAAATAACATATATATTCATTAAAAAATGTTTGGATGATATGAAAGATCTAGGTTCCAGCTTTAGGCAAATGCATATTTGTATAGAAAAGGCATGCTTCTGAATATATAAAAATACCTAGAAAACGACAGCTCTCACGCCGCTCTGTGTCCCGTCTCTCTCCTCTCGCCATGTCTGTCTACCTCCACCCTCCCGGTCTGCCCCATGGACGGCCCCCGACTCCATGCACGACAAGGCACCCGTTAAAGTCAGTAAAGACGTACCCGAGGGAAAGGGCTCTGCATATTGATAAGTCTGACTGCATGTCTGCCGCGCGCCCGAGCCGGACCTGAGCGGGCCAGCCATCTGTATGTGGATGGGCGCCAATCACAAACAAAGGCTGGCCGCGCTGGCATGCAACGGCGCTGCCAGCCGGCCCGTCCACCGGTCGAGGCGAGGGTAACGGCGCGGACGTGTGCCGACACTGGACGGCCGGGAGACGCGGACCGTTCGGCAGACCAGTGTTAGGGCCAAGTAAAGCTGCATATACCACGACACTGTGTATTGTGCTTCCAGCGACCGAAGACCAAGCACGGACACGGCGACCCGCCGACTGACCCAGTCTGGTCACGGTCGCGCCCTTATATAACCACGGCACAGAGCGCATGCGCGATGACCGCGCGGCGGTCAGGCGGCTCGCCGGCCGGACGGCCGGGCCGCCGACCCCGCCCTGTTCCACGGCCCCACACGGCCGGTGCGCGGTCACAATATCCCAACACTCCTCCCCCCATAAAAGAAACGTTTCCACTTGGTCAAGTGACAAAGAAACGCGACACACTACGCGACCGGAACGCGACCGGAAATACAAACTGACACTGGTGATGCACATCGAGAGCATCCGAGGCCTAAGACTGAAAACGATCTGGGGGGAGCGACACTCTGCCAGACCTGGTCACATACGCGCCCCGCACAGATGTACCCCCATCCCCCACCTGATCTCGGGCCCGCCGGCAGAGGTAGTACAACGCCAGCGGATCCGGTCCAGTCTCCTCGGACCCCGTCTGCTTCCTGGGAGGCGTTTCTGTGGCTGTGTCCGATGCGTCGTCCCTCCGGGTGCTTCCAGACGTTTCCTGTTTGTGGGACTCCCGTTCCACAGCTGGCTTTAGCTGGTTGAAGTGCAGAGCCTTTTCCTTGCCCTTGTCGTCACGGACGAGGTACGTTACTCCTCTCTCTCCTCCGAGGCGGCCGATGATGGTGCCCGGGCCTTTGTAGTACAGCCCCAGCTTCGGCTTCCCGCCGACCGAGACCCTATTATCCCGAATCCATACCCGGTCACCAGCCTCGAACCCTTTTCCGCTCGCGCGCTGGTTGAATCGGGTCGCAGCCTCCGTAGCACTGGCCCGGGTTTTCCTGATAGTCGTCTGATAAGCCTCTGAAATGGCCTTTAGACGGTCTTCAAGGTAGCACCGGATATTTACCGCCCGATCTGGAGGGTTGATGACCGCATCGAGTGGCGTTTTCGGGTGGAATCCGTGCAGCAGAAAGAACGGAGAATATCCGGTGACGCTGTGCACAGAGGTGTTGTAGGCCATGCAGTACGCCTTGATGTCAGCGTCCCAGTTCGCTCCTTGAGGGTCAACGTATTTGGCGACCATGTCCTTGAGTGTTCTCATAAAACGCTCTACCATACCATCACTCTCAGGGTGATAGGGCGTTGTACGCGTTTTCTGGATGCCCAGTCGCTTGCACATGCACTGGAACAATGCAGACTCAAATTGGCCTCCTTGGTCCGAGTGAATCCTGTCTGGCACCCCCATGTCGTAAACCCAATCCAACAGTACCGTGGTTACGGTTTCGGCATCCTGCCGTCTGACTGGGTACACTCGGACGTATTTAGAAAAATAGTCCATGATGACTACTGCATATCGGTTGCCATTCTCCGACACCGGCATCTCAGTGATGTCAATCGCAATTCTGCGGAATGGTTGACTCGTGACCTCCGTCACCAGAGGAGCCCGTTTCTTCGGTGCAGGGCGATGGCGCCGTTGGCAAAGGTCACACGTGCTGCAGTACCGACGGATGTCCGCGAACATGCCGGGCCAGAGGAAGCGCTGTCGCACTCTTTCCGTTGTTCGACTCCGTCCCAAGTGTGCGGACGTCGGATGGTCATGGGCGAGCGTCATGATTCTTGATCGCATCGAATCGGGGACCAGGGCCCGGAAGCCCCACTTCGTCCTCATGCCGAGAACGCCCTCCCGCACTTCGAGCTGCGTCCAGCTCCCACGCAGTAGCTCCCACTCGGCGAGAGGGTGATCGGGCGGTGGTTCCCGACTGCCCAGACAGGCGTTCCGCATGACACTGAGGA